TATTCTGGAAAATCCCACATAAATGGCCCAAAAAAGATCGGTACCATGATGCTGTAAATGACACATGTGACAATACTTCACTAGTGAAATGTCTGCAAACGTTTGCAACAGAGCTCGATGCCATCATGTGCTTGATGTCTAAAACAGAACAGTTTGAGTTCAGGACCATAACATGTCATATAGAGACACTCTTCAAAAGCTTCTGTGTGTAAAAGCCTCTGTGTATGAAAGTGTGTGTGTGTGTAAAAGCATCTGCGTGTAAAAGCCTCTGTGTGTAAAAGCGTCTGTGTGTAAAAGCGTTTGTGTGTGAAAGTGTGTGTGTGTGTAAAAGCATCTGCGTGTAAAAGCGTTTGTGTGTAAAAGCCTCTGTCTGTGTATGACACAGGTTATTTCATTTTATTATGGAAAATCCCACATAAATGGCCCAAAAAAGCTCGGTACCATGATGCCGTGCATGACACATGTTATTTCATTTTATTATGGAACATCCCACATAAATGGCCCAAAAAGATCGGTACCATGATGCTGTAAATCACACTTGTGACAAGACTTCACTAGTGAAATGTCTGCAAACGTTTGCACAAAAAAAGGTCCAATACCATAATGCAGTAAATGACACGCGTTATCTCATTTTATTCTGGGAATATCCCACAGAAACTATCAAAAAAGCTCGGTACCATGATGCCGCGTATGACACATGTCATTTCATTTTAGTATGGAAAATCCCACATAAATGGCCCAAAAAAGCTCGGTACCATGATGCTGCGTATGACACATGTTATTTCATTTTATTACGGAAAATCCCACGTAATTGGCCCAAAAAAGATCGGTACCATGATGCTGTAAATGACACATGTGACAATACTTCACTAGTGAAATGTCTGCAAACGTTTGCAACAGAGCTCGATGCCATCATGTGCTTGATGTCAAAAACAGAACAGTTTGAGTTCAGGACCAAAAAATGTCATATAGAGACACTCTTCAAAAGCTTCTGTGTGTAAAAGCCTCTGTGTATGAAAGTGTGTGTGTGTAAAAGCATCTGCGTGTAAAAGCGTCTGTGTGTAAAAGCCTCTGTGTGTAAAAGCGTCTGTGTATAAAAGGGTCTGTGTGCAAAAGCGTTTGTGTGTAAAAGTGTCTGTGTGTAAAAGCTTCTGTGTGTAAAAGCATCTGCGTGTAAAAGCGCCTGTGTGTAAAAGCGTCTGCGTGTAAAAGTGTCTGTGTGTAAAAGCGTCTGTGTGTAAAAGTCTCTGTGTGTAATCGCGTCTGTGAAAGAGTTTGTGTGTAAAAGCATCTGCGTGTAAAAGCGCCTGTGTGTAAAAGCGTCTGCGTGTAAAAGTGTCTGTGTGTAAAAGCGTCTGTGTGTAAAAGTCTCTGTGTGTAAACGCGTCTGTGAAAGTGTTTGTGTGTAAAAGCGTCTGTGTGTAATTTCACAACTTTCCCCTCCATAGCTCATATAAAATTCACCAACCATTCACCGACTATTTTTTACGACTACCATACTCAGAGCTGCTTGAAGGACGTGTTTTTCGCTCTCGGGCCAACCGTCGTCTAGTTCCTTTTCCTTTTTGCGTTCCCCCTCTTGTGTTCCGGTTAAGTAATTGTCATCTCATTTTCATCGTCATCTCATTTTCATCTTTCCTTCATCTTCACCTTCATCTCATTCGTCGGGGCCTTAAAAAGCCTCGCGGCAGTGTGGAACATCTGAAAAGATGAAAAACTTCTACCTGATGATTTCGATTTTGCTGGTTTTTGATTTGGGATGTCCGTTTCTACTTCCAATCCAATGCAGGGGGGCAGTGAATCTCATTCCATCCACTGCCCAACGAAGATGGTGGTTTGAGATTGTGATATCGGGACTGATCATCCCGACGTACCTGCAATTTTCCAATTCTCGTCAATGGCAACCGGCTAAGCTAAGTACTGGCATGTCGTTTTTCAACCTTTTTCAAACCAAACAACTGTACGGTTTTCGCAATCTGACTGAGCTGCATCAGAACCAGAAAATCCTTCGAGCAAGGACGTAGAAAGATTTCCTTCGCACAGTTTCTCACTTCTAATCATTCAACCATTCCTGTCAGGTTTAACTGAAGTGTTTGTGCACGTGTGATGCATTCCATATCAGTAATTCGATAAGATACTTCTGAGCAAGTGAGTGTGTGTGTGTGCTTGTCAGTGCACATTGTCCCACGCCTGCCACGCAAAAGAGGCGGAGACCCAGGGACGCCAGCGGAACCCCGGGGCGTACATCCGACCCCTTGACAATGCACATTGTCCCACGCCTGCCACGCAAAAGAGGCGGAGACTCAGGGACGCCAGCGGAACCCCAGAGCGTACATCCAACCCCTTGGCAGTGCACATTGTCCCA